GGGGGGGGGGGGGGGGGCTCCGTCCGGAGGTCCAACCTTACTCTTTTATTTGCCATTTTTGACTGAAAAGGTACCCTTTGGTATGATTTCTGCCCTCCCCCTGGATCCGCCACTGAACATTCTTTTCGAAATTGGAACTCCTTTTCTTGTAAGCTGGAAGATTCTTTACAAAATTTTTCAAATGTAATGTTTAAGTAATTGGCCAAAAGCAACGGCAACAACAGCAACAGCAAAAAGAATATTGATTTGTGGGACGAGTGGGAGTTTAATTAGTTTCCAGTCAAACATCCCACACATTTTTTAATGACAGTGATTAAGTGTAAAGGTTAAGATTTTGTTGTTCTTACTGTAAAGTACTCAATTTCTCTTTTTTGCAACTAAACGTTTCCAGATGCTTGACACCGAATAGATGGAATGGCCAAGATTTCCTTTGGCAATGATAAAGGCTAACTAAAGATGCATTCCACAGTATCACTTACACCAGGGTTACAGGTAAGTTCATGTATATAGTGAGGAGATAATCGCTTTATCCCTAGCCTTCTTAGCCGTCCCTTCAGACTAGTTCATAATAAACGCTCTCGTTCCTAAGGCTATTTCATTCTCTTCAATTAAGTCTTGTCCCAAGGACAGCATTGGGCCGTTGACCATGCGACATCAGAGTAGAGACGAAAAGCAGACGAACGAGAAAAGAAAACTAGACAGATTGCTTTCCACGTCAGGCTTGTTGCTGTCTATGTCATGTTGTATCGCAATAATTCACGTGGAACTCAGATTACGAGAACATTATCGATTGATATCACACTGTGGAACATTCTTCATCGAAATGGAGGCAGAAATCCGTCGAAAAGTTCAGGAGAACTCAGAGAACGGAAGATGGCAAGTAGGCAGAAACAGCCCTTTGGAAGGTGAGGCTAAATGAAGTAACATTCATTCAGGAATTCGAAATAGCGGTATTTTACTACTCTCCGCCTCTAATCGCAATACTCGCCATCGCTCGGAAGTCTTAGTTTATGATTGCGAATTTAAGGTTCTTTTTCGTAAATGTATTTGTTTGATTGTCACCTTGCAGGAGAGAAGTACAGTCAATTTCCGATAATGCTCATCGGATGCGCTTAAACAAATTGTATTTTTAGAGGACAAAGATATTAGTGTGCATTTACTCTACATTCGCAGGCATCTGTAGACTGTACTATTTTCGAAAACTTG